ACCCACTAACTTGGCAAAACTGGAAAGAGTGCAGTCAAATGCTGCTTGCATTGTCACTGGCATGACACATTGCTTCCCACAGATTTGGTATTACAGCACAAAGTCCCTAATCCGGACTATTTAGGACTTCGGCGATTCCGGATTAGGGTTTTTCCCACAGATTTGGTATTACGGCACAAACTCCCTAATCCGGACTCATCGGGACTTCAGCGATTCCGGATTAGGGTTTTTTCCCAATTAAAGATCAATTTAAATCTGGTAAGATGGCATCCAGAAATTATACAATTAAAAATATGAAACCATAATTTACGAAATAAAGAGCAGTTATGATCTAAAGGGTATTCAAATTTTACAAAAAAATGCTTAATATTTATTTGTTTACTTTATTAAACATTTCTTTCAATGCGCGCATGCGTAATGTATGCACATTCTCTACGTGCATTGTTGGAAAATATGATCTATTGTAACCTTTTTTCTGCATCATCTCTCCTCCTTGAAATAATTCTAACTTTTACATAAGGTTTAGTTCTTATTTTAGAGGGATATAGCAATTACTTTGTTTTTTTCACTGCCACTAATTGTATTAAGAATGGACTGTTCCAGCCTAATTAAGATGCAAAAACGAAACTTGATGTTATGTCACCTGGAAAGCCGAGCTGTGCCGATAGCCGATTGGTTGCCGTGAGATGACGTCATGTCTACTTCATGTTTAAGTATCTCACGTCGCTCTGGTTTATTACTTCTGGTTTCTGTTTCATTGCTCCTTGGTGTGCCATTCCAGCCCTCATTGGAAGACGATATTGCGATGCATACCGTCCAGCAATAAGTGCCATGGTTCCAATCCGAGATCATTTTTCCTGAATTCTGCAAAGCGGCTACGATGTGAGCACCTGCCGTGGGCGGCATCCTGTTTCTATGGTTCGGCGACGATATATCTTAAGTTGTGGTTCCTGGTGGTAAACTGCCGTGGGTGGCATCATCCTGTTTCCAAAGTTAAGCAACGTCAAATTCCAAACTGTGATTTCCAGTGAGCAACTGCAGTGGGCGGCATCCTGTTTCATGAAGGCGGCATCTTCAATACAAGTGTTTTTCCAGGACTAGCGACAATGTTTTTCCAAGCTGTGATTTCTCGTGAGGAACTACAGTGAGCGGCTTGTGCCAGTTCAAGTGCACTCAAGGTTTAGTTTAATTTTTCAGGTGCAGTCTTTGCCAAAAAGCATGGACCTATTGATAGTGAAGTGAAATTCATATTAAGCATGTAGTTTTTGTTCTGTGATATGTCTTTCGTGTATTGAATGCCAGTATTCAAAGATTAGGTAAAATATTTGCTGTATCATTAATAGTGTAATATTCTTTAAAAAAAAAACCCTTGGGGTTAATGAATAGTCAACTAAGTGTAATTTGATAATGATAATGTTACACTCTCTAAGTTTCTGGTGTTGATTATATTTATTGTATTTTTATTTTTATATATTGTTAATAAATTGGTTAAGTTTAAAATTTTTGTCTTCAATGTCTGCACAGTATATAATCTTAGGGAGCTTCTATTGCTAAATGTTTTTATAACTTTAAATTTTGCTTTTGCATCACGCATGCGTAATGTATGCGCATTCTCTATACGCACGCGTAAAGTTTGTGGCTTTGAGGTCTGGATTATAGATCATTCCGGATAATGGACGTCCGGATTACAGACTCTGTACTGTATTTGAAAGTGATATCCAGCCTTTAAAACTGAGAAGAAATAAGTTACTTGTGAAGTATTATAACAAGCTCTACAGTTTTGGAGTTAAAAAAATCGCACTACAACTTATCTCAATAATTGGACTAACAGACAGAGCTTAAAGAGAAACAGTTCTTTCTCTTGAATTTGTTTGATGGGCTTGTTGAATCAGGATGCTGAGACACTTCTTGAGAGCTATCTTTAAGCCCCTGAAGGGCTTGCCTGGTGCATATTTTCAACTTGAACTTGGGACTCATACTCACAAAAATCAAGACTTGCCTGAGTATCTACACAACTTGCTTTGGAGGTTATTGGCCAAATCTCAGCAACTGCTACTCAAATACATACTGATAGCAGTAAAGGCGATCATAGCTATTGTGGCACTGAAACCTTCATCAAGGCCCCTGACTACTCCCTTAGATTTAGGATTAAGAATCTAGATTTCTGCTCTGTTTTTAGATCTGAGCTAATAGCTATTAAATCTAAAACATCAACCACAAATATCTGGATCTTATCGGACAGTAATAGTGCTATCCAGCACATATGTAAGTGGAATAAGGCTGGCGACATAAATAGATCATAAAGCAGACACAATAACATGCCGAACAAATACTAATTCAGAAGTCAAACATCAAAAATCAGTGTTTTCAAATTTTCACAGGACTAGTTTCGATGGTTTTACCGAACCATCATCCTCAGCTGCAAAAGCGCAAATGAACAAGATAGGAAATAAGATAAGAAAGCCTGGACAAGAATAAGCAAGTGGCGCCATCTGTTGGCGAAACCAGAACTAAAACATAATTTCTCTAAAAGCCGAAGGCAAATTTGGATTGGAATTAGGATCGTTAACTAGAACAGAAAGATTTTTATGAATGTGAAATGCCTCTAGAAAATCCAGTTCTCCAATGGAAGATGTTTTTTGAATAATTTTGGCAGCAGAAAAATTGAAAGTGTGATTTTCGGACCAACAATGTTGAGCAACAGAAGACTTCTGTGTTTCCTTTTTTCTAACATATGCCTCATGTTCCTTTGACGCGAAATTATAAATAAGGCTCCTATAGAAGGATTGATATGGCCAAATAGATTGATGGAATGCCTAATTTTAGTGTGTTGAGATGAGAATTTTTTAACTGCTTGATTAATAATGTTGGGTGAAAAGCCCCTGTCAATAGCTATTGCTTTTAAATAATTTAGTTCTTCATCAAGGGCTAGTTTGGAGGAGCAAACTTGAAGAGCACGGAAAACATAGGAATAAAATGAAGCTAACTTTGTTTAGTCGGATGACATGATTTAAAGTGTGGTGGAAGGCAAACCGATGAAGGTTTACGGTAAACTGTAGTACTGAAGTTGGATGTGTTACGTGTGACCAGAATGTCGAGAAACGGAAGAGAATTGCAAGTCTCAAGTTCAAAAGTGAACTGAATAGCAGGATCAATAGAATTCATTGTTGAAAGAACTTTATTTAAATCATCTTTATTACCTTCAAACAGGGTAAAAGTATCGTCTACGTAGCGGAACCATGCCGGGAAGTTTAAAGTTTCAAACAATTTTGATTCATAATAATGCATGTAGATATCAGCCAGGATGGGACTGAGGGGGCTTCCCATGGCTAATCCCTCAGTTTGCTTGTAATATTTATTTTGGAAAACAAAATGTGTTTGTTTCAAACAGAGTTGAGTGAGAGAAATTAGCTCATCAATTTCGATGCAAGAGAAATGAAATTCGCGAAGTCTGGTTTCTAGACATCTTAATGCACCCTCCACTGGGACATTGGTGAATAATGATTTTACACATCAAAAGAAACCATGAGTAAATTACTAGGAGAAATGTTTTTAACCTTTTTTACAAACTCTATTGAATTTTTTATGGTGTAAATGTTATTGTCTAATAGAGTGGAAAATCTAGAAACTAAATATTTAGCTAATGGATACGAGGCAGTACCTAAATTTGATACAATAGGGCGGAAAGGAATACCACTTTTATGAATTTTGGGAAGAGCATATAATCTGGCACAATTCGCAACAGATGGGATAAGCGAATGTTTTAAGTTGCTTGAAATGATTTGCGAAGATTTGATCGCAGTTTTTATTTTGGATAAGTCCGAAGGTGAAGGATCTTTAGGGATCGGATTATATGGTCCTTCGTTTAAGAGTTTAGTGACACCATCGATGTAAGTGTTTCTTATCCATGACGACTATCTGGCCACCTTTGTCGGCCTTTGAAATGATAATATCCGGGTTAGAATGAATTTCGTGCATTGTAGCTCTTTTTCTCGCAGTTAGATTTGGTTTCAAAAGTTTATTATTGAATTTCACATTCTGAGCGATAAGATGCCTAATCATTTCTTTCTGTGAATCTGAAACATTACTCAACATGAAAGCTTTTTTTGCAAAAATTGGCTCCTATCGATACCTTGATAACTTTTTAATGAATAAGCATAAAAAAGGAACTTTCCAGCTGCAGGAACGATGACAAAAAAATTATAGAACAAAATGGTGCTTGTGTAATTCAATAAAATTCTTTTATGTTTTTGTACAACTACATTCGTAATTATTATCAAGAAACTGGATAAATTTTTGGATGATCCAATGCATTTTATTTCCTTTTTAGTACCATAGCTTTAGGTTAAAAATGAACTCCCACTAAACTTCAACTAATACAACTCTGAAGGAAAATAAAAAGATTTTTTGGGGACAAGGTTTGTAAAGCTGAATTAAGCATTTTTACAAGACACTTACATAATGATAATCCAAATTAGTATAATAGCTATAATATGATTTTGATGTAAAATATATTAAAACAAAGCTCAAAGCAATGAATTATAAAGCTATGTTTTTTGGTTAGCTTTATTTAATTCTGTAATTTTTTAAAATGTTAAATTGAAGAAACCTCAAGTAAAGAAAATAAACCTCTGCAAATCGCTGTAATGGATTAAAACAGTTTAGATGGATCAGAAACTAATGAGAAAAATTACAATAAAAAATTAAATTTGTACAGTTTAAATTTCAATGTACTATGATAATTCATTGTCTTACTTTTTTTTTTTATATTTCAGCAAACTTTTCTTTACAGCATTTTATTTTAATACTTAAAAACCAAGAGCTCTTCTAGAAATACTCTTAAAAAGAAATGATCTACATTCACATAAATTACAAAAAAAAAAAAAAAAAAAAAAAAAAAAAAAAAAAAAAAAAAGCTGTAAGTTGATAAAGTCAGAGAACTCTGCAAAAAGAAAGCACACAGGGAAAAAAAAAAAAAAAAAAAAAGGAGAAATATTTACCTCATCAAAGTTACATTTAATCTCTCTATTTGAAAGGTAGAAATCATCTGCATGAGACATAGTAGAAGAGCGCTGAGAGTAGAATTCACATTGCATCATGTCAAAAAATATTGGAATTGTCGCCTTTCTCAATTCTGCTTCAGGAATCAATGTCATTTCCAGAAAAGGTCCCACCATTCCAGGAACAAAATTTATCTGATGCTGGCCTTCAAGTAAAACAAATAACAAATAAATATGCATATTTTTTAATATCATAAATTTGATACTGATAAGACAGCACAAATGTTCAACTGATTCCCCCCCCCCCCCCCCGAAAAAATAAAGCATTTCCAGTGACAGTTCAATTACCGATAGAATAATTTTCAACTGCCACTAAAAAAAAGAAAACTTTTGCTTTAATTAATATGAATTAGCTTCTAACAGTCTTTTAATGGTTCATTTTTGACAAAATTTTAAAATAATTAATTTTCAAATTTACTTCCAGCTTTGTTCCAAAACAATGTCACCAAATCATGTGTACGGCTTAGGTACTAATGTTATATCATATGACACTGCGAAGGTTTGGTACTAAAGTTAAAAAACAAGGATTATAACATTCAACAAGCAGAGTGCTCTGGTCAGCTTACTGTTGTTGATGAGGCCTGTCTGCGAGAACTTGAAGAAGTAGATCAGCATGCAACCACTCGAGAGCTTGCAAAGGAGTTAGACATTAATGCCATGTTCATTAGTCACGCTATGCAGTGCATAAACTTGACGTACAAGTTCAATCATTGGATGCCACAAGAGTTGACTCAAGCAGATACGGGCACGTACTATTTGCTTGAATATCAACGCAAGGCAAAATTCTGCACTGGATCATCACTTGTGATGAAAAGTGGATCTACTTCAACAACACAGGCCGAAAAGAGGGTTGGGTCTGTGCTCGGTTAACCCGTCGGTAGCGTCACAAAGCGCAATTTGATTAACAAAAAGGTCGTGTTTTGTATCTAGTGGGACTACCATGGTATTATTAACAAAGAGTATCTTGAAAAAGATAAAAACCTTGACAGTAAGGTGTACAGGTAGATGCTAGTCAATGTTGACACTGCTATCATGGAAAAATGTCGAACTGAATTCCAGCGCAAAAAGGTAATGTTTTATCAAGATAATGCAAGACCACATGTGGCTGCATTTGCCGGCTGGACTTTACGGACTCGAATGGAATCTTTTGCCATACCCACCATATAGCCCTGACAACACTTCTTTGCACTTCTACCATTTTTCACACCTGCAGCTACATCTTGCAGGTGCTATTCTGCACAGAACATCCGAAATGAGGATAATCAGTTTTTGGACCCGCAGTCACCAAGTTTCTGGGTTGAAGACTGAAAAGCTACTAAAACATTAGCAGAAAATTATAGATTTGGGATAGGTGATTACTAACCACACTAAAGGTACTGCTTTCCTGTTTTTCTCTAACGTCTTTTGGTGGAAAACAACCAGATATATGAAAACAGCAAATTTTTGGAATTTCAGTGACACGCGCTGGAGATAAATCCCCCGCCCTACATTGCCATTCCTTGCTTTGAAGTCGTTGGTTTGTAATAAAAATTTATTAAAGTTTTACAAAATACATAATTTAAGACTGGAATTCAAGATTCAGGCTTCTAGGTGCCTGAATGTTCAGGTGGAGGATTATGTTATTAAAAATTTGATGGCTGTAGGTACCGCCATTTTCTCACAGTGGGAGAAACATACATTCATGCAAAGTGATGTAAAATGCTGTTTTGAGATTAGTAGCTCTTTGGGCTAAAAAAAAAAAAAAAAAAAAAAAAAAAAAAAATATCACATCAAAATCAGACTCATTATAGTTCATGGTTAGACACCATTTAATCAGATAAACCCTATCTACTTTGACAGAAATGTGGTTCCTTTTCTTCAAGGAATTATCTTTTCCCTTTTTTTCAGGGGAAGAGGGTTGGAAAAGATATGCTTGTCTTCTTTGAAATTAAGAACACATAATAAAAATAATAAAGTTTTCTATAAAAGAAATGTTAATTTAAGATGTTATAACCCAAACTTTAATCTTGATATTAACATGTCATACCATATACTTGATATTATTTTCAAAAAATGTTAACTTTTATCATCATCCGTACAATAAGTTGTTATCTGTAACTTCTGAACAATTTATATGGTTTCTTGATACATTAATCCTCCATGAAAGAAACATGTCCGTTTTTATGTGATCAAGAGATTTATTTCTAATTTAGTACATACTATTTTCATGATATAAATATAATATGTTCTGCTGGAAAAGATAACATTGTAAAAAATTCCATCTCAAATACTTGGATTAATTGGGACTATAGGTTTGTCTTCCCCCCCCAAAGAATACTATAATAAGTAGACCAAATAAACACTATAAAAAATTAATGTACAAATCAAGGAAGAACTATTTTTTTGAGTGAAAAAAACTACAGTTTGCATTACAGTCCATTTATAAGTAATACTCACTAAAAGCAACTAATACAAATTTAAAATTATATATATGATATATTTTGACTCCAGACTTTTCTAATTAAAAAAAAGGGGGGGCTACTAGGAGGAAACTGTTATGCTTGTTTTCATATAACAGAAACAATGGATTTTAAATAATTATTATGCTAATTCTCCTTTTCTCATAAATAGTTCATTATTATGCTAGTTCTCATTATGTTATTTCATTACTTAATTTCAAAAGTAACTTTCATTTTGTACAATTTAATGATATATTTTCATTATATTTATCACGTTAACAAGTTTGTTAATTCGAATTTCTTGGAACAATTGCATGATAAATGTAATTATTAAATTTTATAAGAATTCATTATACAGTCAAAAGTCGTTAATTCAGACACCCATAATTCGGAATGATCCATAATCCGGACCTCAAAGCTAAAAACTTTCTGCGCATGCGCCGCGTCGACACATGCGCATAGGCGTTTACGCGTGCACGTAAGACCTCTTACAACTGCGCATTTGGTGTGCGCAAGCACAGAATACGTTTTCGCGTGCGCGTTGTATAACGGACGGTGTAAGTTAAAATTATCTAATTATCTATTTCAGTTAATGTTGATGATTGCGTTGTTCCTTAATTTTCAAATTGGATCCGGCTTATTATTTTTTGCAGACTGTAAGAGCAATACTATAAAAGTAAACTTGAACTTTCGATTATGTCAAATAGAATTTTTGATTCTGGAGCTCCCAAAGGATCATACAAAACAAAAGTATGTTTCGATGTCCATCAAAGAAAAAGTGGAATTGCTGCAAAAAATGGATAAAGACATGAAGAATGTGACAGAGAGGTTAGTGAAAACGAAAAAATTTCGTTGACAAGTTAGTCGGTATTCTCGGCACAGCAATTAACGGGACTTGAACAGCGGAACTTTGTAAGTGAACAAAACATTATGTCTGTTTATAGAATTAAAGAGAAAGTATTATCACATAAAACGAAGCAACTTAAACAACTTACATTGAAAGAAATGTTTAATAAAGTAAACAAATAAATATTAAGCTTTTTTTTTTTTTTTTTTTTTTTTTTGTTTTTGTAAATTTTGATACCCTTTAGATCATAATTGTTCTTTATTTCATAAATTACGGTTTCATATTTTTAATTTTAGAATTTCTGCATGCCATCTTACGCAATTTAAACTGATGATCTATAATCCGGAATCGCCGAAGTCCCGACGAGTCCGGATTAACGACTTTTGACTGTATTGCCTTTTACCATGTTTACCTAAATTCAACAAACAATTTATTTCAATGAAAACGTCTCCACTGTCCTAGAAATAAGTTTTGAAAGTGCTTCTTTATCTCTTTCTTGACATTATACGTAGTAATCTGTATTTAATTTTGTGAAGTTTATATATCCAAGCGCTTGAATTAAAGACACGGCTGACTCACACTGAGTGGAAGAACATAGTGCAGATCATTAAGACATATGGCATATATACGACAGGGTGTGCGGAAAAAATGTCACCCGGAAAAAAGGGAAAAGGAAAGAATGTCCCCGGAAAATAAGGAACGGAAAAAATGTCCCCGGAAAATAAGGAACGGAAAAAATGTCCCCGGAAAATAAGGAACGGAAAAAATGTCCCCGGAAAATAAGGAACGGAAAAAATGTCACTCGGAAAATAAGGAATGGAAAAAAAGGAGCTCTAAAATCTCGCCAAATAATGTCGCCGATTGGAGATGGGGAAACCTGCCAAACGGGCAGGGTTATAGCGGGCTCTCTTGAGGGAAGTTTTAAGGGTAAGACGTTGAGCTGGCTGCAGCTGAGCAAGGTCATTTCGACAGCAGGTTTTTCCAACTTGCCTGCGGGAAAATCGTATGTTCTCCCCCGTGATTTGCTTCACCCGTTTCCTTAAAGAAACCGACCCACCTCACCCGGAAGGAAAGAATTCACGGGGAGCAAATGTTTCTCCTCTGTTAAATAATGATTGCCGGTCTTTAAACTAAATTTCATCCATCCCTAACTGGAAGCTAACAGCTTGTTCACATTAAAGTGTTGATAAATGACGAATTGTTAGTAAAGATGACACACCTTGTTTGCGAAAGCTTAATAATTTGCTGTAAAAAGTTAAACAGAACTATTGGCATAGTATAGTCTGTTATTTTTATTACGGTTTAACGAATCTTGCAATAATATTATATTATGCATTCCGTTATTATTTAATCTATCCGTAATATGAAATATAATTTTCTAAACACTAATGGTTTTTCATCAGTTAATTTATAAAACGACAGATATTTTATAGTGTCATTTTTTTTTTTCCACTTTAACGGTTTATCATTAAGTCCAAAGAGACTTTGATCCTGGAGGACTATTCTTTTCGTTTTGCGATTTTGCGTTGAATCACTATAAACGGCGAATCACTTTTCAAACTGTTGCCACCAAATGTTAGAGTCTTGCATTATACTCGAAGAAATTAAATAATGCAAAATCTGCATAAATATATGCATATTTCTCGCATTGTGATAAAACAACGGTACATAGTCTCAAAACGACATTTTGCGTGGTTTCACTTTCTGCGTTGATTCACTTTTCAAACTGTTGCTAAAAATATTATTGCCATGCATTATATTTAAAGAAACTAAATAATGAAGATTCTGCATGAATGCATGAATGTTTCTCGCATTTTCAAAAAACAACAGTACCTAGAGCCATCCAATTTTGAATAACGTA